CCCTTTTCTTCCCACCTTCATTAACCTTAACACACACTGTGCTCCTCTTCCAGTGCAAGCGTGGCCTTGCTGGGAAAGAAGATCTTAGCTCGAACAATCTCATGTTGATTTTCCGCTATCTCAAGTACCAGCTGGTCTAATTAGTTTGGAAACGCGCCGTTTGCTAAAGAAAGACGAGGCGCAGCCTGACACCTGCTGTATTAATTACTTGCCTCTTTAGCTCATTGCTTGTCCACTCTATTAGGTGAGAGAAGATGTCACTGATGTCTTGAGTTGAAGGTGCTGAATGGGAAGGGAGGAACTGGTGCTGTTGGAGAGGAGGTCAGTGGAGCTGGAGTATGTGTTTTGGGACGATGGGAGCAGGGGAGAGGTAGTGCTGGTTTACGCCTCCACAGGGATGTAAAAAACCAGGTGCAGGATTTGTCCCAGTATCCACAGAGGTGGAGGGTTGGATGGGGTGGGAAGAGGGACCCATTTGGAGAGTGGTGACCCTGGGCAACATGTTGCCTCCTCCCACCCACCTGTTCCTGCCTGTAAACTGCGGAGATGGATACAGATGTCCATTTGAAAAGCTTCGACGACGAATGTTATATAAAGGCCAGAAATCATTGCTAGGTATTGTCGGGATGTGCAGCGGAGGAGCGCACGCGGAGATGGAAAAATACAGGGAGGAAACAAACATGAGCAGCAGAAAGCAAAGCGCGGTGGTGCAGGAGAGTCAGAGCTCCCGTGCTGCGGGGCCGGACAGCTCATCTCCCCTTGGACCCCCAGAGCCTTTGACGAGCCTACACAGAGATGGACCCATCTCCCCGTGGCTCTGGCTGCTGATCTGGGGGTGAATCTGCCACTTGCACTGCCACAAAGCCTGGGGCAGAGAGGTTGGGGGTGCCCATAGCTGCCAGCCCCAGCCATGCCAGGCAGGACCAGATCTGGCCTCTCACAGGCTCATGGTAGAGGATGAGGTGAACCAGGAGCCCTCGAGCTGGGGAAGGATCTGCTCCTGGCTGCCCTGGGTCCTCTGTGTCCCCACAGACAGAGTCAAGCCATAGCAGCCTGGGTCCAAAAGCTGCCCAAAGTGGACCTTGAAGAGCAGAGCATCTCAGGAGAGGATGGTTCAGTGGGAGCCAGTAATGAGCCCAACATCGACCTCACAGTCCCACCTGATGGTGGGGATGCTGGGGTTCCCTCGCCCAGGTAGACATTTGGGGCTAGGTTGGAGAGTGGCAGCATGGATGCGGCCAGGTCCCTCCCAACTGCCCCATCCAGATCTGAACTGCTCAGTGAAGCAACCAGTGATCCCAGTGGGACTGCGAGATGGCAAGTCTGCTTTTGCAAGCAGTCGTGGGACACCATCATGTCCCAGCTCTGTGCTGGGACAACAGCTTGCCTCATTTCCCACCTTTGAGCTGAGGCCATGACCAGTAGGAAGGCCGGAGGAGGATGGGGAGGGGGACACCCCACAACTGCCCCGGTGCCCTGCTCCGGTCCCAAGAGGGCAAACAAGACCTTGCTGGCCAGAGTGGAGAACAGATCTCCCAGAACAGACCCTGGGAAAAAGGAGGTGGCCTCGAGTGATGCACTGCACCGATCTCCATCTTCACTTCTGTCCTGATGGAGAGCACGGGGCAGCCCAGTCCCACTCGCTGTGCAGGGCCAGGGCTGAGCGCGGGGCCGCCGTTGGGGCTGGGGGTGACAAAATCATGGCCAAGGCTCTGCAGGGGCTGATGCTGCGCTTCTCCTCCACTGAGCCTTCCTCCTCGCCCGCACTCAGCCTCTTCCTGACATCTAGTGGGAGCAGGGACACATGGCAAAGGGATCCGGTGCCATTTCGATTCCCTGACACACTGACACACGTTAGCCACCCAGCTGGGCACAAGGCCTGGGCTACCAGAGCCACCAGAGGGGCTGGTAGCACACAGCTGGGCTTCGCCAGGGCACGGCTGTTTCTGGAGAGAATTGGTGGGAGTGAAATTCAAGGTATAACTCCTCACAGAGCCAGTTATTGATGGCCTGGCAGAGACCCTGCTCTGAGGAATGGGACCTTTTTAGGGTTATCCACCATCTCAAACCACTTGAGCCCTCTCCCCTCTCTTCTACAGCTGCACCACGTTCCCAGGCAGGGTGCAAAGCAGAGCTGGGCAGAGGAAGTTTCCTTCTTGCCCTCGGTTTTGGATGGCACATTTGGGAAGTAGAGGGAAAAGGTGAAGTGGGTGCAAGAGATCCCCGTGGACAGGACAACCCCATGCTCGGGGTTGAAGACCGTCCCCTCTCCATCCAGGTCCACCCTCATTTTAGAGCCCATGCGTGTCTCCCTGCATCACCACTCATCCCCAATGCCAGCTGCCAAAACCAAACCCACCCCTGGCTCACAGCCCTCTGCCCATGGTTGCAAAGGTGGGACAGAGATGGACGCTCCCCACAGCATTCGAGGGACGGACACCCTCCAGGGTCATCCCACACTGGGCAGCATCTCTACCAGACTGGTCTCCCAGTTCCTATCCCTCTCCCAAGCCCCCAGCTGCAATGATGGGCAGGAGCTGGTCCCTCCTGCCTTGTTTCACACGCTCACTTCCTGCAAGCAAAACCACCTCATATTTCTCCCTTGTTGCCATCTACCTTTGCTGGACCGTTCACTCCATCTAACTTGCTGTCCAAAGGCCAGAGTGTCACCTCTCCACGCGTCCCCCAGATCTCCTTGGTGATGCCCAAGCACTTCCACCAATGAGCAGCTAAAAGTTAAACACCAGCAATAAAACAACAACAGAAAGTCTTTATTCCAATGACCAGGAAGAAAATTTAATCCAAAGAGTGAAGATACGAATACAAACCCCAAAGGCACTCCAAGCAAACCCAAGCGATTCGCACGAGTCCCTTCCCAAAGCAGCCCGGCAGATGCGGCTCTGGGCGCCAGCTCTCCTCCAGTGTGGACACGGTGCAGACCCACGCTTGTCCCTGGCATCCCCCCACGCATCTCCCTTGCTGGAGGGACCCACAGCGGCCCCGGGGGCTCCCGCACCTGGGGAATGGACAACTTGGCAGGTAGATGAGGGACTCAGGGTGGGGGGTCACTGGGTGAGCTCACATCTACCCTGCAGAAAAGAAAGGCACTTCCCAAACTTCATGGCATCCCGTCACCTTCACACACCCAGCCCGGGACTGCGAGGTGTCCCTCCATTGCCCACCCCTGCCCACCCCAATCCAACATCCCGGGGACATAGCCCCTTGGGGGACTCACAGTGCTCCAGAGAAAGGACCAAAGCGGGGGAGGACATGGCTTGAAGGTAGAGGAGCAAATCCAGCTGTGAGTTGTCCTGAGCTGCCCTGTGCTCATCATGGTCCCTGGGGAGCAAACCCTCAGCTCCCCTTGACTGTCACTCCGAGGAGGCACTTTTTTGACGAGAAGAGACTGAGACCTCTTGCTCCTGGAAAAAGCAGGACTGGGAAAGGTGGTGGCCCTGGGCAAGGACCTCTACAGAGCTGTGTCTGGATCCTCCTGTCCCAGGCTCAGCCCAAAGGAGGCAGGACCAGGACCAGCATGTGCAGGGTGCTGAGATGCATCCATGCAGTAAAGAGCACTGTAGCCCCAACGTGATTTTTCTCTCCCACACACATGTCCAACAGCCCTCTGAGCCCCCAGATGAGGCATGGAGCCTTTGGGAAAAGCAGGGATAAAATTCTAGAAGCAATGTTAATGCAATGACTCACTAAGTGGCTATCACTCCGAAAATTCAATCCAAAGCCACTGAAATTATGGATGGGAGACAAAAATCACAAACCTTCAGGATTTCCATGGAGGAAAGTCTGGTCTGTCCTGGGGGATAGTCTTTTCCCTGCATTTAGAGAGAAGCAGCAGCCAGGCACTTGCTCCCCTGACATGGGGCTCACAGCCTCGGCTGCTGGTCCTGCTCCCTCCCCAGTTCTCCAGAGATTCAGCTCCCTTTGACATCACTCTGCTCTTTTTGGGGATCCTGAACTGTTCTGGGTCCCAAGTGCAAGGACCCGGCCTCAGCTCACATCCCTCTCTTCTCCCCAGGAGGCAGAAAGTTCACAAGAAACACTGAACATGGGAAAATTGCATGAGTCAAGGAGCAGCAAGTCTCACAAAGTCACTTCCAGGCTTAACTCCTTTGTGACCTTGGCTCCTTCCAGCCCCCAGGTCCGACCCTGTAACCTGAACCCAGCCAGACTCGGCAACAGCAGCCTTTGGGGGGGGGGGAAAGCACCAACGCTGCCAAATTCTCCCTGCCACGGCACTTCATGGCAGTGGTGCCGGCAGTCGGGGAAGCGGCTGGCAGCCTCTGGCACGGCTCTGGTCCGGAGAAGCAGCGGGCGAGCTCGGCACAGGGAACATGGCAGAGCACCGAGCAGAGCAGTGGGAAGGGGATGTCCTGACCTGGGCATCTTCAGAGAGCAGCACCTCCTCGCTGTGTGGCCGTGCATCACTGTGGGTTTCAGATTGCTTAATTTAACCTTTCTTCTTGTTTGAATGGAAATGAAGTCAAACTCGTAAGCAGAGGCAGAGCTGTCAGCTCCCGAGCCTGGGGGAAGCTGTTGGGATCCCTCTGCCTCCCAGTGCCACCTCTCCCAAGCCTGAAAATCTGCTGCACAGAGCAGGACCATCTCCCAAAACCCCTACGCTGTCCTTCAAAGAGGAAGGGGTGATCCTGGCACTTGGTCCTCTGCCCTGAGGGAGTCCTCCTTAGCGCTGAAGCAGCTCAGCAAGTGACTTTGGTTCCCGAGACACAACCCAGCTTCCCATCCCAGTCCCTCCTTTGGCAGCACAGCACGGCACAGCCATGTCACCCAGCAGCTCCCGGAGGCGGTGTGGACGGCGCAGTGTCACTGCTGGTGCGGGGCCAGCTCTACCAAGCTGGGCAGAGGGTGCCCAGCTCATCGCCGAGGTCACTTTCTGGAGGGCTCGAACCACATGCAAAACCACAAAGCAACACACAGAGAAACCCCAGGGGGTGGTGGTGTCCCCTGTGGAGGGGGTGGGGGGCTCAGACGCAGCCCCGGGGGCTGCGCTCGGGCAGTGGGTGCCCGGACGGGGGCTGCTGCAGCAGGGCGGTGAGGATGCGCTGCAGCTGGGTGAGGCGGGCACGCAGGGAGGTGCTGGAGAAGAGGTTCAGCTGGTAGGACGGGTCAAGCGGCAGCATGGAGATGAGCCACCAGCACCACGTCGGGCCGTCCGCCGAAGCCTAGAGGGGAGATAGGGAGAGACCCCCACGTCAGGAACCACAAATGCGTGGCCTTTGGGCAGCGTCACTGACAGGAAGGAGTTGCTCTTGCCAGGGCAGCAATGCCAGCTTTGGCCAAGGTATTCCTCTGAACGGCCCTTTTGTCCATCCAGGCTCAAAACTGCTGGAAAAACTAACTTAATTTCCAGACAAGCATTCCCCAGGGAGCCTCCAGACACAGATGTACCCAGGAAAAAGTCTGTACTTAAGAGAAAAAGAAACATCTTGTGTGTTTCCTCGTTTAAGGCAATGCTTTTTGTGAACTCGGGCCAAATCCCGCGCGGTCCGTGACTTTTGGGGCATGTGTCTTACCATCACTCAGAGAGGCGAGGTGCAGGCCAGGCAGGCACAACCCCTGGGCAGGTTTTTGTAAACTGGCTTTTTTAAAAACTGAACCAAACTAAGAGGGAAGCGCTCGATTGAGCTGAAGGAGGATGAGTCGTTCTGTAACTCTGAGCACAGCGTTGATGCAACTGCTGGCCGGGACAGCCTGAGCCTGGGACAGGTCAGCAAGAGCATATTTGTAATGAACCAGACAGGAAAAACTCTCTTAAAGGAGTAAAAATCAAATTTGGGGATTTTTTTTTTCCTCCAGAATCTGAATTTTTCAGAGCGATTTAATAAGCAAAGTAGATCCTGCCCTCTGAGCTCCTCTCCTCGGGCCAGCTATGGCTGTCTCAAAGGAACACAATGAGAAAGGAGACCACAGACTCGCTGAGCTGTGGGGTTCATTTCCTTGCCCATTTGTTTGGGTTATTTTTCCCCAAGTGTTTTCGAATCCAGACAGTTCCGTTTCTTGGTTCTCATTTGAGAAAAAACTCCAGGAAAGCTTTGAAAACTCAGTGCTCAGTGCCCAAGAATGGTTTAAAACCATAAAGAAATTACTAAACAGTTCTAACAAACAAGCCCTACCATCTCTCTGAGTGAGAGGTACCATAACTGGTAACGGGAGTGAAAAACAGGGTTGGTTTTGCTCATCTTGGGGGTGAACCAAGGAGGGAAGCACAGGACTGACACTGCTCCAGGGGCTCTCTCTGTACATTCTCTATTTAGAGCATCTCTTCCCTCGGGGCATTACCTGGATGTCCTCTTCCTTCTCCGGCAGCGGTCCATGCTGCATGGAAAGGTGCCTGGAGGCGAGGTCCCCGTGCTCGCAGAACCGCTGCGCCAAGCGGTAGGTGTTTTCGTGCAGGCTCTGCAGCTCCTGCAGCTCCTCCCCAGCCACCTGCGCGGAGCGAAGAGGAAGGTGTCCATGGGGAAGGCTCTGTCCCACCGCAGCGGGGGGTTTCACCCCAGCCCTGCCCTCACCTTCTTGTCCTCCAGGTACTCGATGTCGGCGGTGTGGTAGCCATCCCTGTGTCCGCGGGTCAGCACCCGGAACCGTCGCGTGCCGATGGTGTCCACCAAGGACCTGCCGTCCGCCAGCAGCTCAATCTGCCGGATCTCCAGCATGCAGCCGTAGTCAGCAAAACTGAACGGAGACAGGGAGAGATAAGAGGGGCTGAGCTGGGATACTGGTGGTAAGAGAGCTGCTTCTCCTGAAGGCACCACCTCCAAAGAAGGAAAAGGCCTAGGAACAAGCTGGCTGGGAGGAGACAAATTCGGGGATTCACTCAACTCTGTTGAGTTACCACTTGCTGCCAAGAAGGCAGGGACTAGCAAGCACACTGCCTGTCCACCCTTGGATTTGCCATTCAGCAAAATGACTTAGGTCCTCACACTGCCCTGATGTCCAGCAGGACGTGAAGACACCATCCCTTGCAGAGACATCCTCCCAAAGCCCAGAAAATGTTATTTATCTCATTTCACTTGAACGAGGCTGGAACACAGGGAGGATATGTCATGTAAGTACAAGTATTTAACAGAGTACTTGGATGAGGAGCCTGGAGAATGAGCCCATCTGAGATCTGGAGGTGTCACCAGGAACATAAGGATGGCCACGTTGCACCAAACAAAAGCCCATTTAACCCAATGTCCTCTCATGGCTTGTTAAGGACAAAGTATGAGAAATATGGCAATTTTCAAGTGCTCACTAAGAGGAGCTGGAAGTCACAGCCAAGGAACCACGCAGCTCAGAGACATCCTGAGCCAGAAGCTGTTCTCAGACTGTCATATTTAACAGCCACCGCTGGCTCTACCCAGCTCCTTGCCTGGCCGGTGGTGATGCCAGGTGGCAGCGAGATCCCATTTCATTCTGCTGTGTGGGAACACACCACCTCCCTGCTGATTTTATCTGCGGGGTGCAGTGGGATAGGAAATTGCACCTGGTTCCTTCTCTCTGAACTACTTGGGATTTTAGACATTTGGGGCTGGGGCAGAGAGAGAAAAATCAGCCGGGGCAGAGGGAAGCCGCCTTGCCCAGGAGCTCACCTTTTCCCATTCTCATATACACACATGCCGAACCGCCTCGTGCCAGTCTCCTGGCACCGCCGGATCATGAGGCGGTAGCGAGGCTCAAAGACGTGCAGAGGGCAGGCGATGCCTGGGAAGGCCATTGTGCAGACGAAGATGGGGATGTTCTTGGTCAGGCTGAGGGACAGGAGGAGAGACCACTATGAAACCTCTCAGAGCAAATCCCATCCCAAGTGCTCTGCATCAGCTGCTCCCCTGAACCAGATGTGTCCTTTACCCTTAGAAGTGATGCTCCGACACAGAGCAACACCAAAGCTTCAACTTGGCTCACCAAGAGCCCAAGGACAGACTCTGCACACAAAATAGCTCCTTGCAGAGATGCTCCCTCATCCCCAGGTGCCCCATGTGGCACATCCGCACCCACCCAACACGCTTGTGACATGGTCCTAGAAGGGGGACCGACATCACTTGAGCAGAACCAAGCCAGAGCAAAGGTATGAGGTGTGGGCAGTCCCCTTGGAGCCCCTCCGGGCCCCCATGCACACATGCCCACGCTCACGCACGCACACACACTGGAGCAGGTCCCTGCTTACTTGGAGAGCTCTGCCATCTCAGCCTGGTGCAGCTCCCGGCGCTCAGCCAGCTGTGCAGGGAAGGTGGCTAGCATGATGTCCTGCAGCAGCACGGTGGGGCTGTAGCTTCCAGCCTTCAGGTACTAAAAGAAATTAGACCCAGGAATAGGCTGGAGAAGAGCAGGGGGGAGCCCTGAGCCCCTGCCAGGCTCTGAATCACGCTCACTTTTATTGGAGCTGAGGGTAATTTTAGATGAGAGGAAGTCAGGGATAAAACCAATCGGGGGATGTCGAGCCATCTAGCAGGATGGGATGTCAGCTCCACCGAGACCTCCAGACACAGCTCAGACCCAAGGCCCGTCCAATGCAGCGTCCTGTCCCTGACAGTGATGCAGTCCTTGTATGACAACCTAATTTCCTGGACGGTCTCATCTGAATCCCTTTTCATTAGAGATTAAATCAAATCTTCAGGCTAGCCTGTTTTCCATCCATTTCCATTTTTAAAGGTAATTAGCATTCACTTCTTTCTTTCTCTCTCTCTCTCTCTACCTCTCAGTCCTGTTTACGATCTCACTAAATCACCATGGCATCTTGTGGAAATGAATCTCTTGGTCTTAATTATCAACTGTCTGGTTGTTCCCGTGTGAGTGGAGCTGACACCGCTGTGCCAGGTCACTGCTAACGTAAGAACATCGCACCTCCCCACCCCACCCCTGGGCACGCTGCTGGCAGCCGGAGCTGGTGCCCAGCTCTCCCTCGGGCTCCATCCCATGGGACACATGCCCTAACCTCTCTCAGGCTCTGTTTGCAGAGGGGGCAGTTGGGCCGGTGGTCCAGGCAGCGTTCGAGGCACTCCTTGCAGAAGGTGTGCCCGCACGGCGTCGTCACCGGCTCGAAGAACATCCTGTAAAGGGACCAAAGTCAATGGAGCGCAGACAGCAACGTGGGGGAAGGAGCGCAGGTAAGCCCAGCAGAGAGACACTTCACAGCACCTCTGTTCACAGGGCTGGGTGTCCTCAAAGCTGTCACTCCCAGCCCTGGCTCAGCACCCTGCTTTGGAAACCCCAGCTGGATATGGCCCCAGGGTGCAGGGGTCCCGCAAAGCCTTCAGGGACTTGCAGAAGCCCAGGCTGGTGCTGCAAGGGTTGGTCAGGTCAGAGTAGGCAAAGCCATGGGTGAAACATCTGTCTTCCCCCAGCCTTGTACTTGCATCTTCCTTGAACCACCTTGCAGAGAGCAAGAGATTTTTCCTTCCAGCAGGAACAAGACACTTCCCATGTCCCCTCCTACCATTTCAAGGGAAATCTGCTGCCTTCACCAGCCTTCTGCACTGAAGACAGTCATGCTGCAGGGATGTGACACCATGGAAAGCTATCTCACACTGTGTCTTTCAAGCCCTGGCAGCCCATGGCTCTGAAACTCACCTTCACTACAGCTGCACTGGCCAAGCTTTGCTCATAACTCCCGTGAGCTAAATGTAAAGATTCCTCACGGGCTTATTGCTTTCCCTAGAAATCTGGGCTCAGACAGCTGGACTTGCACAATGATGTAAGACAAGAACTGCCCCAAGCCTGAGCACTGCTCCCCATCCCTGCAGAGTGCCTGCAGACCCCATCAGTACACACATGGCACCCCTGTTCCTGATAGGGCTGTGGTTCCCCAGACACCCACGGTGGTGTGTAGCCCAAAAGGCAAGAGCAGGAAGTGTCTCCTTCTCCCTGCTCCAAGAGCAGAGCTGGCAGCAAGCACTCAAGGTGCTCACAGGTAGCTCCAGGATCAGAAATGAAATGAAGGTCTTGGGAAAGCCCTGCTCAGCGCTGAGCCCTGACTCCTCCTCAGCGCTGGGCCCTGACTCCTCCTCAGCATTATGTTTCCCTGCTCTCAGAAGAGACCTAAATTCACCTAATTCAGATCAGATGCAGCCTTGGACTTTCTCTGCCCTGTGTCATTCCATGCCGTGCCCTGACCTGGGAAAAGCTGCTGTACAGGAGACCTTGACCGTCTTGCACGTCTGGTGGTGCAACACCCAGCCCTCTGCCAGCAGCCGCTTGCACAACTGCTCGAGGTCCTGGGACATGTCAGAAAAAACAGCCTGGTTTGAGCATGTCCTGTGGCAGCACCCAGCCCTTCCCCAGCCCTGAGTCAGCAGACAGATATGGGCTCTACCCTGTCCCCTTTTCCATCTCCAGGCAAAGAGCTGGGAAATGCTCCCCTCCAGGTTTGCAATGCCCCCATTTCCCTGGGGCAACACCTTCCTGTTCCAGCCTTCTGTTACAAAGGGCAACCACCGATTTCGGTCTTTGACCCCACTGAACATCCCCACCTCCACACCGATGTCCTGAGTGATGCAACCCTGAGACAGGGTGATCTGAGCTCCTACAGCCTCACAGGGCAAAGCATACCCCTGTCCTCCCCTCTCACCCCCTCTTCTCCACTGAAATCTGTGTTCCAGCAGTACTGGGGACCGAGTTTGCTACTGAGGTGTGAAGAAAGATCCACATCTGGAAAGAAAACCCAGCAGGCGCTAATTTTTCATCCGAAAAGCTCTCCCATCGGGGAACTCACCGGATGCAGAGGGAACACTCCAAGTCAGCTACGCTCAGCAGCTCCCTGAGGCACAGCTGGGTACACTTTGCTGCTGCTTCCTCTTTGTTATCTAGTGGCAAAAGAGAAGGAAAGAGAAGAACATCCCCATTTCAAGACTGAAAATTAATCTTTGCTTTCTGACCTTGTTCTGAGGTGTAAGTAGTTAATCGCTACACAAAGTGCTTTGAAGGTTATAACAAAATCACTAGAAAATGCGACACAAACTCCCCCTACTACTCCATCCATGTTCATCCATAGCTTTTCCATAAGCGAGTCCCATGGTACCTCACAGAGGAAGGTGGTATCTCTCTACATCCTTTTGCAGGCAGGGAAACTGAGGCACTGGGAGGTGATGGAGGTGATCTCCCAGATGGGTGATCTCCCAGATGGAGGTCTCTGGAGACCTGCCCCAAGGCGTCATCACTGCTTTACACAAATCCACATACGTGGAAGACATCTGGCTGGATGCTGATGCCAAGTTAATGCCAATGGAGGTGTCGCTTCCCCCAGCGCATGACACGCCGTGACTCTCGCACGGGAATTTAAGTTCTGATCTGAAACCTATGGGAACCCAAAGAAGCTTTTACCAAGTCAGACTCAAAGTTTTGGTGTACGTTCACCACTCAACACAAGAAGATCAGATGCTCCTCACACACGTAAGAAGCAGCAAATGTGCCAGCCAAAGCTGCCCCAGGATCTCTGCTCACTGAGCTGGCACTCAAAGTAAACACCAAGTTTTCAGTGCCAAAATGGACTTTAAACAAGTATTTTGCATGAGATGAGATTTTGGTACCTTTCCCAACACTCACCTACTGACCACTGGTCCTGCTTTTCTGCTGAAGTCTCCGGTTCCTGCTGTCGCCCCGGCTGGGACAGGGTGGCTGTCTTCTGGCCGTGCTCAGACTCAGCATCCCCTCTGCCATCTGCTGGCTCTGCCTCCTGATCCTAGACACAGGAAAGACAAAATTGAGCCCAAAACCTTTTCTCCCTTTGAACGCACAGCCCTATCCGCCATACTGAGCCCAGCGGCACCAAGAGGTTTTCTGGTGTGTTGCTGTGTATTAATGTCTGGCATCTGCGGGACAGCAGGAGAGCGTGGCCTTCAGACGTCCCAGCTCATCTCATGGTTAAGACATGGGTTTAGTCTGTCCAGATGTACCACCCGGCATTTGGCTGCATCTGAGCCCATTTTCTCTGATTTCCCCCTTTCCAAATCTGCCAAATTCATCTATAGAAGGTAAAGAGCAAAAGATGAGCTTTCCTTAATAGGTGCTAATGGTCTGAATTGTTCTCAAACATGGGTTTTGGATGAAAAAACCAAAACATTTAAATTGGTGTTTTGGGTTTTTTTTCTGAGTGTAGTGTGACTTGGGTGTTTTAAACACAATGACAGTCAGAACCAGAAGTACTGCAGAATAAAACTGGGACAGGAATGGAAGACAGACTTCCCCAGTCCCCACAGCATCAGTTCCAATGGTGTCTTTCTCTCCCACCCTTCGCTACCTGCAGCTTCCCATCCCAGCACACAACCATGTGCATGTGGCTATGGTCCTGCACAGCCTCCCCTTATCACATCTCTGCTGCCATCATGGGAAAATCCCAATTTGGGATGTCCCAGAGGGACATTAAGTCCCACTGCAGTCTCAGATCATTGCAGGTGCTCTCACCTGAGCTTGCACAGAAGAGGATGGGAGTGCATGGCTCCCTCCATTGACCTGGGTACCAGTCGAGCCCTGGTGAGCATCATCTGGACATCCAGCAGCCGTGCATGGCTGAGAAGCATCCTCCTGTGTGCGGATCTGCAAGGAGAAAGTGAGGCTCAGCGGGTGCTGGGAGAAGGCAGCAGGAGGCAGGTGGGCTGCCAGGCTCCCTCCTTGCCCAAAGCCGCCTCCTGCTCACGGCAGGGCACCTTGGTGTTACTTGTTTCAGCACTGACTGAGCTCTCTGTCAAACAAATGCCTTAGCAGAGCATAAGGAAGAAAGCAGCATGAGGCTGAACAAAATGGTGTATTTTAAGGGCTGGGAGCCATGGTACGGCCCACACACCTTCTCCATCTCTCTCCGAGCAGGCTGGAAATGGGGACTGAGTGTCAGGCAGTGTTCCCATGCCAGCAGGGCTTCGGCTCTCTGTCCCATCTCCAGAAGCACCTTCCCTTTCCTGAAGAAGCCCTGCAGAGCAGAAAAACCTGCAATGACTATGAGACAGTGACCAGCTGAGCATGTGCCTCTTCAGCGCCCATGCAAGCCCCGAGGAAATCTCCCTCCAGCCTCCTGTCTGCACCATCCCAGGACGTAACCCGGACACATCGTGGCTCCCATGCTCAGACTCATCCTTTTTGCCCACCAGGTGCACCCACAGCCAGGTTCCCATAAAACAGGACTCTCCCAAAACGCAGCAGTTGCAAAAGCCAAGCAAACAAACCCTACAGAGACCTAGAGAAGGAGTCAAGGGCTTCTGCCTTTGAAGCTGCAAAACTATTGCCAACACCTGCTTCACAAATCCTGAGCTCCCAGGGCTGATTTCTCCAAGGGCAGCTCAGCCTCCAGCCAACACTTCCCCAAGCCTGGAGCTGTGATGCTGCACCCCAGCACGGCTACATGCCCTCACCGCCTGCACGCCAGCCAGGTCAGACTCTGTGCTGGACCTCTCCTGTTAGCGTAACGCAGCGCTTGCAGCCTGGATTTGCAACAGGTCTGGCAAGTGTATTTCTGAGCAGGATGAATCCAATGGCCAGGAGAACTCAGGAAAGGGGGAAACTCCTCCCATACAGTGAGATTTGGCTCCAAGTGCAGCCGGCTGATGGGACTCCCCTCTGCTCACCTCGTGCTGTCCAGGCTCAGCCCTGCACACGGCGTCCAGGTCCTCCAGTGCCCGCGCGTGCTGCCCCAGCGCCATGAATGCCTCTGCCCGGCACAGCCGCAGGGAGCTGGTGTCTGGGGCTAGAAAGAGAAACATCGTCACTCATGTGATGAGTGCACGGTGAGGCAACGGGGCTGGATGAGGTTGGGGAGATGCCACTGCGGTGGGACAGCCCCTGCGCCACTGCCTCGCGCTGAGCACAGCCAGCTCCTGCGCTCCTCTTTGGCAGGAGTAACTGGCCTCGTAAATCTCTGCAAGGAAGTTATTTCCCCTAAACATCTAGTTTTAAACTCTTTGAGGCTGTTCCCTTTGGTTTTTCCCATCTCCCCTGAACGCCCCCAGCCAAGGGGCCCCACTGCTGCCTTGAGTCTCAGCCACGCTGGGATCTGGGCTCTCGTCCATCCTTTTGGGATGCAGCAAAAAGGCTGTACCGTACACATAGCCCCAACAGGGGCTGTTGCCACGGGAGGCTCTGCGATGTGATTCACCCAGCAGAGCCACAATAACGTGTTACCAAACAAGCCTGCAGCTACAGAGACCTGAATTCCCCAAACACCAGGGTGTCTCCCAGACCCACCTGGCTGCCACCGCTCTCCTGAGGCAGAGGAGAAACCAGGGGGGTGCAAGGATCTGCCTCCACCACGTGACTCAGGGCTTCCAAGTATGAGAAAAGGCTGAGATTTCCCAAAACAGAGGCAGGGAACTGAGCATTCAGTTCCTCGTCAGCAAGATATGACTGATGGGATTTCAGGGGGGCTGTGGGGCACAGCTCCCGCAGGCGCTGCTGGCCATGACACCCAAACGCCACGATGATGGGTGACTCACACACTCCTGCCTGCTCCTAAATAACCGGCAGTGAGACCCTCTTGTCTCCTGCCTCAGGGAAACCTCATAAAGACCTTCCTTTCTACCAGCACTTCCAGTAAGGGAATCGAGGTGAGGGATGTCAGGGAGTATGAGTGAGCAGCACCCCAAAAGCCCACACAGTGCGGCTCACGGAGTCACCAGGTGTGGTTACGTTTGTGGGTTAGAACTGTGAAGGATTCCCAGACCCACCCCGTTATATCACAGCTTGCCACAGAGGTGACCTACATCCCATGGCACTGACGGCTTCCCAGCCAAGGCAACAGGTCCATGCACCCAGCCCTGTGTCTCACCCCCCGTGGGGACCATCACCAGCAGGATGCTGTTTCCAAGGCCAAACCTGCATCATAAATTAGGCACCATTTGCAGGCCCTGGTGCTGCGTTTACTGTGGCAAAGAAGGGCTGGCAGCATCGCCTTGCTGAAGGGCCAGCAGCTCTCTCTGGGGCAAGCCAGGTCCTGGGGGCTGAGAAGCAGCCAACCTGCGGTCATTGGGAGACATCGCTGCTGATGATGTCTCCTGCCCTCCCAGCCCCAGCAGCCTTTCCTCCTGCCCCGGTTCAAACACGGTGCTGATGCAGCTCTGCCAGCGAACTGCAGCTCTGGACATGGTTTTATCATGGAGGAGGAAGCTCTGCCATGGCTATTGTCTCCTTTTGTCCCCATGCCCAGTGCAGAGCACAGGGAGACCTTGCTCTCTGCCTGGGGCTCAAGGTGCCACCGCATCCCAGCTGCTCCTGCACCAAGGCTGCACTGGCCATGCTGAGCTATGCAGGAGAGCAACACCTGATCCCTCAGAGCTTGTTTGCATTTATAATGTTAGCCAGGACCTGGGAGTTTAAGTCAGGAAACATGGGAACTTGCTGCTCGGTACTCCATCTCGCAAGCATGCATCCAGGGACGAAAGATTCCAGCCCCTAATGACAGGTAGAGATAACAAATGGGTGCAAAGTCTAGAGGCTTATTTTACATGTGGGCAAACTGAACATTTGCATAGCCTAACCATAAAGCAACCGATTTGGTGAAAACAAGACGTGTAAAATGGGGCTATAAATTCTGCATTTCTCTTCTGCTGCAGCTATTTTTGATCTATGATATCATTAGACATTAGGGACGGAAGCCAGCTGGCAGCCCCGGCGGCCGACGAGTGACTGATAGTGGTCCC